GCATTTAATAGGCCATGCTGACGATTTGTGTTTACATTTAAAATGTACCGGAAGTGGGGCATAAAGGAAAAAAGTGTGGTCCCCATTTAGTAACAGCCAATCAAAGTTTGTCTTAGTTATTGTCACTCGTCAGCTGAAGATGTCGTTTGGGTATATGTCGGGATATATCGGGATATGTCAGTATATGTCAGTATATGTCAGTGTGTCAGTATATGTCAGTACAATTGCAGCCTCCAAGTAAAAAAAAACAACATTGTTAAGTTTTCTGGATTTGCACAATTTATTACATCTTTTTAAAAAAAGATTGACATTTCTAATTTTGTAAGGTTAAATTCAAATATTTTAAAAGTGTAAAGTTTACCCAGACGATGAGATGTAGGCTACACAAATACATGTTTTTACATTCTGCAATTAAATGATATTTTGTTATCACAGACCCTTAAAACGATGATATTTTGCTATTAGTGATCTAGCGGTAGAGAGCTGGACTGCTAACCCGTAAGTCTCGATTTCGAATCCGGGTTCAAGTCAGTAGACCATCCCTGAGTCCACCCAACTCTGATGGGTACCTAACTCACGATAGGGAAAGTAAAGGCGGCTGGGCATAGTGCTGACCACACTATCTCTTCATATGCCGAGGTCACAGAAACAACTAAACTCTACTTCACTTACCCTATAGACCGTCAGGTTTGAAAAGGGAACTTTAACTTTACTATATGATAGTATGCTATCACAGATACAGGTATATTTTTACCCCATTAAATGATCATATTGTGTTATCACGGGTATGATGTTAACCCATTACATCATATTTTGTTACTACGTGTATTTTGTAACCCAATAAAATTATATTTTCATATTTTTTTTTAATCACAAGAAGGCCTATATTGTTACCCAATAATTAAATGATATTTTTTTATCATCGATATTTGTCACCCCATTAAACGATGATCTTTTGTTATTACCCAAGTATTGTTACTCCTAGCTAGTATAGCACTAGTGCGGATCTCGATACATTTAGCTCAGTTGTAAAGCCGCACTCCCCATTACGCTAGGGTTTACCATGGACTATATGCTCAAACAACAAACACTTGATACGAGCTAACGTTGGCTCAGCACAAATATCTATTCCAACATAACAGATAGATCTTTGTCTCTAGTTATTAATAATTCAACGTTACGAAATGAAACTGTTTTATTCTTTTCCAATTGTTTTTTTTCAAACTTCGGATTAATTTCTCATGTAAGTTCAGGGTTTTTATAACAATAATTAAAAAAAATAAAATAAAAAATATATTTTTATGTATACTCTGGTCATTGCCCTCGCTTATAAAACAAAACTCAATTCGCCTTAACGCATTTAAAGTTGTAGAATAAACATTCTTTTTTTTTTGTTATTACCGTTTCGTTTTATCACATATTCGCGTAAACTAGGATTTTTTAAAAGGGTTATTAAACATTGAGATGTACCCTAAGAAGCATTAGGCTTACATCTATTTATAGTTCATCTTATCGATACCCTGCGATCGTGCTTAAAGAGAAGCAGATACGACATAAAGAAAAATATGTGGGATTCTATACATAGAAATACTCGAATCACTTGAACAGCTCAGACGCAGTAATTAGCTCCTAATGTCTACGTCTAGAGAAAATCTGTTACAATAGAGGTTCTGTCCCATACATATTTATACATAAATACATGATATATATATATATATATATATATATATATATATATATATATATATATATATATATATATATATATATATATATATATATATATATATATATATATATATATATATACATGTAAACTTATTCGAACACCCATTAATATTTTGCACGTGACAAAGTCACAGAAAAAATTACAAAATGTTAAGAAATATTGATTTAATTGAATTGTAAAATCCTATTCGTTAATAAATGAGGCTAGTGATTTAATAACACTTATACACTAAATTTACAAAGGCATTGTGCTTTACAGTACCACTGTATATGTTGTATATTTAAATATATTTTCATATCTATAAGGTAATAGCTACCTTTTTGAACCTGCGATCCATGGACCAGGTGAAGTAGTGTTCACCTGTTTCTGTTGCCTGGGAAAATGAAGGGGTAGTGAGTTCAGGACTATGTTATTTTTAAGTATCCCATACATCTCTTAGATATCTTTTGCACGTTTTGATTAGTATCTTAAATATCTTCTATAGGCCTATATAGTATTTATCTCTTCTGTATCTTTTATATCTGTTACCATCACTTTTCTTTTTTTTGTTCCTTGCGCAAGATAGGGCATCTGTCAAAGCTTACACCTCCCCACGCTCTCCGGCCACTCTTTTCAGCTGTTCCCAATCAGTGTTTCTTCTAGAATTTTTTTTCTCCAGGGAGGGGGGGATCCGATATTTTAGGGGTGTGTGGGAGGGCGGACTACATTTTCCGGAGGGGTGGGGGGGACGGACACTGGTAAAAGTATATATTTTCTATGTACATTTCGTTTCCTTCGGGTGGGGCGGGAGGGGGGAGCAGTTATCTTTCTTCGGGGAGGGTGTGGGGGTGGCGGTGGGGGATGGGGTAGGACCTCCCCCCCTCCTCCATGAACTCTGTTCCCAGTTCCTTCCCATCCTTTCGGCCTCCTCGAGCAAGCTACGTCGCCATTTTGTCTTCATGGGTTGACCCCTGCGTATCTTGACCTGGGGTTCCACTCTAGTTATATGTCTGTTATACATGTTATATATTTTTATATATGTTGTATAACTCTTACCTGAAGAAAATTATAGTCGAATTGCAATAACTTTAAACATTACTGCCACCACAAATCTATTGACGTTGAGTAGAAGTGGCTAAGTAAATATAACAAAGACCATATTTTGTAGATCAGTCAACGCTTTGTCGTTTAACGAAAACATCTAAGGTAAATACAGTAACGGTACTACTTCCAAACCTGACAGTCAATGGGGCAATTGCTGTTTCTGTGACCTCGGCATATGAAGGGATAATGTAGTCAGCACTATGCCCAGCCGCCTTTACTTTCCCTAAAGTGTGTTAGGTACCCATCAGAGCTGAGTGGACTCAGGGACGTCTACTTACTTGAACCAGGATTTGAACTATTTTGTTGTAGTGAGTCGGATAAAATTACTTCAATTTGTAATACGATTTCAGCAGCTTTATTGAAAAACAGACAGAGTTGATTTCGTTATCGTTACTGTTTATTATACCATTGAGAAAGGCACGATTTTTTTATGAACACTAAGCAGGAAATGAAAAGTTGATTATTGAAGTTCATCTCCTAAACCACACAGACGATATTGACAAAAAAAATATATCATCACATAATCTAAAATGCACTTCATTTTCAATACCTCGTTTTTTTCCCCTCCCGAACTTAATTTTATTTTAAACTCAAAACGGATGAAGTTTCGATTCAAAGAGAGCGCGAGAAATTATAACAAAAATATCCCAAGCATAAAAACCGTGTTTTCCACATTGTATTTCATCATGCCGTGACGTCACATCACGAGCCGAGTGACGATGGGTATCGACAGCGCCAAAATTGCCGAGATGGAATTTGTTTTTTCCGTATTAATGCATACTCTCCACTCCGCCTCTTCGATGCCGATGAATGGGCTCTTAGCTGTAACTGTTGTTAACAAGAAAAGACAACTACTTTACACTTGGCCCGGAGAAATATCTTTTACATGCTAGAAATATTTGGGTAGAGACCGCTTTTTAGATGCGTCCTTTGTAATAATGTTTGTAAAGATGTTGATGTATAGATGCGTATGTGTAGTTTATGTGCATTTTATGTGTAGGCTATGTGTAAGTTAAGTGCAGGATATATGACGTTCGCTCTGTATATAGCCTACTATACGTACGTTATTTGTGTGTTAAGTGTATGCTATGTATGTGCAATGTGTATGCTGTGTGCGGTATGTGTGTATATGCGTATGTGTATGCGTGAGCGTGAGAGTGTGCGCTTGCGAGTGATAGTGCTCCAGCACGTGCTTGTACATGTGCGTTTGCTTATGCGTGTATATACATGTGTATATGTACATGCAAGCCCATGTGCAAATACATATACACGTGCATGTGTATAGGTGGTAATTGTATGTGTGTGTATCTATCCAACTGGTTATATGTATGCGCATGGGACGGAGTGGTCTAGCGGTAGTCTCGAGTTCGAATCCGGGTTCAAGTTAGTAGACCGTCCCTGAGTCCACCCAACTCTGATGGGTACATAACTCACGTCAAGGAAAGTAAAGGCGGCTGGGCATAGTGCTGGCCACACTATCTCTTCATATTATTATGCCGATGTCACAGAAACAAGTGAACTCTTCTTCACTTGCCCCATAGACCGTCAGGTTTGAAAGGGAAAGTTTACTTATGCGCATGGATATGTACATACATAAATACTTTAAACAAATATTCAAATGAAACAGTAGATCTAGAGCACGGGGCATATATGGGGTGAAATGTATACAATTAAAATTGTTTATTTTCTAAAAAAATCATTATCTTTATCTGGTTAGATGAGGGGTTATAACAAACTGAAAATATTATAGATATGGATAGACTAAATTTATTTAATTGTATTATTAACATTGATCACAGCTGTCTAAAGGAAATAACGTCCATAAAATGTTGGGAGTAAAAGCAGGGAATATTGTATTGCAATGGATTTAGTTGTATCGCGTTAATCTTGTTTGATAAAATGAGTATTATGGTGTTCGTGAATGTATGATTTGTTTTGACGTTGGAAAGGTGAGATATGTAGGGATCGGAATGGTGGGGGGATTAGGGGTCGGATAGGTTGCAGGGGGTCGAAAAAGTTGGGAAACATGGAGTCGGGTGAAAAGGACTACGTAAACTCTAAATGAGCTTAGAAGGTCAATTCAGACATAATGTTATTATATATATATAGATTTATATATATTTATTTATGTAAGCTCATGAAATCTATGAATCAATTAAAATTCATCTTTACATTTTATTTATTTCAGGAACTGCTTGTATGTGTACGAGATGGAACAGCCTTTTTTATCTAGACCTTCACAAGAGGCTGATAGAAAATCCTCCTACTGAGCTAATTTTATTTTGCCAAAAATAAAAGAAATTATAACCATATTTTCATTTTAAATTGTCAGTTTTTATACAGTTTCGTCTGTAGAGGAAATATTTAAAAAATTGCTTTTAATAAATTCAGCCCTGAAATTTATTTTAAATATTGTTAATTAAACTTTAAATTTAGAATTTTGAAATTTTTTTTTTTTTTTTTTTTTACATTTTTTTTTGTTGTTGTTGTAAAGTGCACAACTTGACAAGGATAAAAAGGATAAGTTTTCAAAGTGTTGGCAAAGTGTGTCAGCCACAACGAATAAACTGGTACTAGTATTAATGATATCTGACATAGACTCTTTCGAAAATAGGAGGCTGTTACCCTCAGTTGCATATCAGTTCTAGTGTTATGGTCAGGAATCATGGTTATGGATATGTTGCTACTAGGTTTAGGGACTAGGTTAGGGATAGGGTTAGCAGAAATTCCGGCATAGCTTTAGACTTGTAGCGTTAGATAACACCAAGGATTTCGGCAACGTCAAATTAACGTATACTAAACGTGTATTAAAAATAGGTCGACACAAATAATGTCGGGAAAATAAGGCTTGCACATCTATCTATATATATAATTCTCCTCTTCGAGCCGTTAGAAAACAAGCTGCAAACGCTCTCCCTACCTCCCCACCCCTACATGGTTTTAGTGAGCTGTGTTCACTCTAAATGTTTACAAGCAGAGCCAACGATTTTAAACGTAGGGGGGGAGGGGGGGGGGAAGGAAGGGGGGGGGGTTATGGTCCTTAACGAGCTACTTATAGTGTTTTAAAGAAATATTTTCAGTGTCAGCGTTGGTACTGTCGAATTCACAAATTATGAATTATTGAAAATTAGAAACAACTAAATAGCGGCGTATGTTATGCCGCGGGCCGGCTCGTATATATATAATTCTCTTCTGGGATCAGTTAGAAAACAAGCTGCAAGCGCGCGTTTGCAGTCCCCTCTCTTCCTCTCTATCACTATCACTACCACCCCCACCCCACCCCCACATGATCTGGTGAGCGGTGTTCACTCTGTTTACATTTTACTATCACAGAGACGGGTTTGGTGACGGCTATTAGGGGCAGATAATTTAGTTTGGAACGATTTTAAACTTAGAGGAGGTAACTAAGAGGATGCTGCTTTCACGTGGGGGGGGGGGGGGGGTTAGTGTTTTTAAGCAAATATTTTCAATGGCAGCATTGGTACTGTCGAATTCACAAATTATAAATTACTGAAAAGTAGAAAAAAAACAACTAAATAGCGGCGTATGATACGCAGCGGGTCGGCTCGTATCATTAAAATGGGACGGTGTGACAAAAGCGGTAGAGTGTTAGGCTACTAACACCAACGTCTCGAGTTCGAATCCGTCAGTAGAACGTCCCTGAGTCCACCCAGCTCTGATGGGTACCTAACTCACGTTAGGGAAAGTAAAGGTGGCTGGACACAAATGTCTAAGAAATGTTAATATCATTTTGTCCCTAGCGCCAGTCTTATAAGATGAATTAGAATGAGGTATACGCAAGTATCCTGCTCAGTATCAAAGAAATCAGTAATTAAAACATTCATAGAAATTAAAGAGAAAGAAAATGTTGTATTAATAGAAAATAACGCTGTAATTTATAATTTAAAACATCCTTTAGATCTGAAACAAAGTTACAAAAATATGTCTTCCTTCTCAGGTAGGTGTAATACTTCGAGATATTCGAACTCGAGACTTTCGGGTTAGCAATCTAACCTTCTAGGTCATGCTGACCCAGTGCTAAATTAATTACGTTTATCTCGGTATATAAATCTAGTCAGATAGTGGTATTTATTTATTTAGTTGTTAAAATCGTCTTTTTTTGAGTTTGCATGATAATTAAATTGCATAACAAAATACCATAAATAGTTGCATTGGCATTAATTTATCCGACTAGCCCACCTTCATTTAACGTTATTCTAAACAGTGTCTGAAATTATGCTTTAATCAAGTCTTTCTGATTAGAGACTTCCGTTTGAAGCTCTCCCCTGTGGAGGGAGTGAGTATTATGTATACGTTTTCAGCAGAATTTAATACGTTCTCTGTCATCTGCTTCCTACTGCAGTACACGTATTAATTGTTTTATCGTATCGGAAATTGCAATTCAAAAGTTGATATTCAATCCGACTGAAAGGTTGCGGAAATTTTACACTTTATTTTCTATTTTTAAAACATCGGGAAACTTAAAAACAAATTCTAGAGGGGTTTTATTGATAATGTCTAAAGTCTTAAAAAAAGAACAAATAACACACACACACACACACACACACACACACACATATATATATATATATATATATATATATATATATATATATATATATAAACAGAGGGAGAGAGAGTTTCTTAACAGTCCACCTAAATAATTGTATGTGTTTATGTAAACGATTTAGTCTAATCAAATCATACAAGGACAGTTTTCTTTAAATCGTAGTCATTGCAAATCAGTATAAAGGTACTGAACTTAAATCTTCATAGATAGTAGGCTGTAGGCTTTCAAAGTGACAACACAACAACGTATCGAAACTGATATTTAAAAAAAAAATGTTGCATTTTTTTAGCAGCTTAATTTATTCTAAATTTATTTCAGTAACCAAAAAAAAAAGGCGAAAAGTTCCTAAAGATTAGCGGCGGCTTCGTTGCTCAAACTGCATACATGCTTTTTATCTTAAACATTTTTTGTCTATTTGTTCCTTCTTCCTGGTGATTACATTACAGCGCTTGACATGCAAAGTACAAAGAAACCTGCCCGAAATAAAAACTGAAAATAGACCTTCTATTTTTAAACATTAATAATTTTCTGAAAATCCAAATTAGGGTTTTAATTTAATAACAAATATTTGGAAAATACACAATTTGCTTTAATAGCTTCAATGATAGGCCTATAAATAGCTTGTCATTTACATTTGCAGTTGTTATCACGTGACTTGGTAATTCCATACAACGGTTGATTAAAAACAGGAATAGGATACAAGCTGATACGAAACGAATTATTAACACTTAAGTGAATATGACATTGGTAAATACAAATGAATGCGACACTATGTACTTATGAGCTAGATATTGGTGAATTTGATAGCACTGCATTAGACCAGTTGTTCTTAAACTTTTTGGAGGTACTGAACCCCACCTTCTTATATTTCTATCGTTCGCATTGACAAAATCCAATCATGAATTAAATTAGTCGGGTGTGTGTATTGGTCTCCGCCGAACCCCTAAGACTGACTCACCGAACCCCTGGGGTTCGATCGTACACATGTTAAGAACCATTGCATTAGACAATTGGTAATGAGACACAATAACTTAAGACACGTGTCTTTTATTTATATTTGAATAAATACATGTGAATTATAGAAAAGACAAAACTTTACACGTGGGACAGCATGGTCTAGAGGTAGAGCGCTAGACTACTATACTGAAAGTTACGACTTCGAAACCGAGACTAAGTCGGTAGAATATCTCTGAGTCCACCCAGCTCTGACAAATATCTAAATCACGTTAGGGAGTGTAAAGGCGGTTGGGCATAGTGCTGACCACATTATTCCTTCATTTACCGAGGTCACAGAAACAGGTGAACTCTACTTCACTTGCCCCGTGTCCGTCAGGGTCGAAAAGAGAACTTTATTTTAAAATACAAATGTGAAAAAGACAATTGGAAATAGAGAAGTAAGAATAAATAACTTAAAAGACATCCATGTCAAAAAAAAACTTCTGAAAGCACAATACACAAATAACAAAATAAAACCAACTGGATGTCTATACCAAAAGAACAGGTCACTGAATCGATAGCATAATTATTTTTTGAAAATTACGTTTTATTGTCAATAAGCTCGACACCAAATACGACCAAACCAATTTGATTTTAAAACTTGATCAGAAGCATGCTCTCTCTCTAAGGAACACTATCTCCCTTTCTTAAATCGGTGAAAGGCTATCAGATAGGAAACAGTTCACGATAGTTCTGCTGACTGACGAGTGCTCGTTAGTACTGAATTCCTTAAAGATCTATATGATATTACACCTACATTTTACTTTACTTCCCCGAATTATTACTTTGTTTGGATGTAAGAGGCAGTTCGGTCGTGAGACCACTCGTTTCGAGTTAAATCTATCTATGTTTACAAACTGCTACCTGTAGACCACATCGCTTCCACACCATACCCTTCCATAAATACATGTTCTTAAATTAATGTATTTATTCTTTCGAACTAAAGCAAGGTCAACGTGAATCGTGTAAGAATTACTAAAATACTTGATATTTTTTTTTACTAATTGAAAACGTCTCTTATTAAAATAATGTATAGATAAATGACAGTTGAATTGGAAATTTAAAAATTAAAATAATGAATATATTTACATATATATATATATATATATATATATATATATTGACCTTTGTCATGATTTTATATTTGCCTGATTTACATATATCCAGCAAGGTAAGAGAAAACTGATTCAAGAGCAGATAGTTCAACTTTTTTGTTTTTGCATATAATTTGCAAGTGTGCATGCAACCAGTAGACCACATTGCTTTCCACACTCTCCCCGCCCATACATACATTCCTAATTACTGTATTTATTCTTTCGAACCAAGTTTAGTCGCAAGGCAAGGTCAACGTAAATCGCGTAAGAATGATTAAAATCCTTGAATTTTTTTTTAATATATCTACATTCATGATCGTATTTATTGACCTTTCTCTTGTTGTTGATATTCGCCTGATTTACATCAATTTAAAAAGGTAAAAAAGCGGTTTAAGGACAGAAAGTTCAGCAGTTTGTTTTTGGCATATGACGTGATGAGATGGTTTTCTATAGACTGGTGTCTCTATTTGTATCAAACACAATCAGACCTGCTTAGAAAAGTCGGCTCAACGGCCAGTTACCTTCACTTTAAAGAATTACAGAGAGGTTTGGATTAAACTGTCATGGGACGGCGTTGCCTAAGCGGTAGAGCGCTAGACTGCTAATTTGGAAGTCTCGAGTTCGAATCCGGGGGTCGGCGTGGTCGAGTCGGTAAAGCTCATGGTTGCTAAACCGAAAAGTCTCGAGTTCGAACCCTCGGGCAGATGAGGCTCGTTGGCTGGGGA